AACTTGATGTAGTCAAGATGCAGCTGAGGCCATGACTTGGCAGGATTTTTAAAATGACTGACCATTTCTAGAAACTTGAATACCATATCTCAAAGTGCTAAACTGTACCACTTCCCCCTCTGCAAGGGGAATAAACAGCAAATTCTGCCACAAGTGCTCAGCACATCTCTGTCACCACATAATAATGATGATAATTATCGATAATAACAATAATCTGGATGTAAAGCTGCTCCAGCAGTGGGACTAATTAATGCTGCATCTAATACCCGCCTTCCTGGAAGCTGCATTGGGCTGCCAGCATTACAGTGTTTTTTGAAACTCAAAGAGAAGAGAGAAGCCTGGGCACCTGGAGTCACAGATAAGTGTGCTGGCCACTCCTTGGCCACACTCCAGCAACTTGTTAGCAGCTGTGAACCCATTTCGTTAGAACCAAGAAAGTTTAACACCTTCTGTCATTTCCACTCAGATCAGCTGATGATCTAATCCTAGTAGACAAAGATCAGCCCTCTCTTTCTTGCCCATAAACACCAGACATGATGTAAACCCACCACTGCTTGTCCCTAAAACGCTCAGAGATGAGGAGACAATCTCCACGTGTTGTCAGAAGCTCCATTATGTGTTGAATGTCCAATGCCCTAGCACACCAGTATTTTTAATTAATCAGAAGTTTCTCCATTGAGATTAAACATGATGTTAATTTCTCATTTACTCTCCCCAATACATGCTTATTAATTAGCATACTAATTTGTTTAGTTCTTTAGGAACTGCATGCCATGGAAAATGTTCTAAGTTGTCAAATGTAACTCATCGATTAGTCCAAGACATTTAAGAAGGACTAATTGGTAATACGTCAGAGCACTGACTAATTGGTGAAAAATCCAGTGTGATGAATCCTGCCATCCCTTCCTTTGTAATAAGGTTCTTGAATTAACTGACAACATGTTTTTTTCTGATTTTTCCTTCTTTTAATTAAGAAAACCACAGGTCTTTGTGGAGGGTGTCTATTCAATTTTCTGGTTATGCTTGAAGTGAAATCTACTTCGTCTACCTCATTAGCTGAAAAGCAAAGAAATGAACCTACTCTGCAAACTACAATTTATCATTGGGGCTGAGAGAGCTGATGTAGAAACTTAAAAGCAACTTCATCATTCTTCTATTTATTATACGTATATTTTAATGTTCCTTTCTGATAACGTTAGTTAAAAGTGACTTCTACAAATCTGGAAGAGATGTACTGCATACATTTCTCCTTACAGCATATGGCAGATTTTGAAACAGCCCACTGTTATAATATGTAGACTATATCGAACGCACAAGGTAAAATATACAGAGTAAAAAGGACTGAACATTCACAATTATTTCTCCAAGCAGTAATGCTCTCGGTGCTCAGTCCATGGCCATGAACGCCAATTACTCAGAGGAATTCTGCTGACGTGGGTATTTGCCATCTTAGTCACTGATACCGGTTTGTGTGTTACCATATCAAACAGAATATAAAACCTACTAAAGCGTTTGTATATGTTTGGATTTCCTGACCTCTAGCTCTTACAAAACAAGATAAAGTCCACCATCCTAATGGCCACTCTGGCATCCAGAGTGCTTGCAGGCTGCTGTAAGAAGAACCATTTTTCCAAAAACTATAGCTGAAAGGAAACTAAGCCAAGAAACCCCGTGTTACACAAAAGGCCAGATTTTGTCCTCAAAACCAGTGTGTGCAATGGTGCAGAGATGCTACTTATGACACCAGATAAAACAGACTCGGGAATAAGTGATGGATCTCTGGAGGCTGTCAGTTATGATAACAGCACTTGTTAATATTGTGACTCTGCCAAAAGCCTTTCCAGCTGCTGTCTTGTGTTGCCATAAGAACTGGTCCACCAAGCTGAGTATAATACTCAGCCCAGAAAGCCAACGGTACCCTGGGCTGCATCCAAAGCAACATGACCAGCAGGTTGAGGGAGGGGATTCTCCTCCTCTACTCCACTCTGGTGAGACCCCCCTGCAGTACTGCCTTCAGCTCTGGGGCCCCCAACACAAGAAGGACATGGACCTGTTGGAGAGAGTCCAGAGGAGGCCACGAAAATGATCCAAGAGCTGGAGCACCTCTTCTACGAAGACAGGCTGAGAGAGTTGGGGTTGTTCAGCCTGGAGAAGAGAAGGCTCCGGGGAGACCTTAGAGCAGCCTTCCAGTACCTAAAGGGGCCTACAAGAAAGCTGGGGAGGGACTTTTGACAAGGGCATGGAGTGATAGGACAAGTGGCAAGGGCTCTAAACTGGAAGAGGGAAGATTTAGATTAGATATCAGTAAGGAGTTCTTGACTGTGAGGGTGGTGAGGCACTGGAACAGGTTGCCCAGAGAAATTGTGGATGTCTCATCCCTGGAAGTGTTCAAGGCCAGGTGGGATGGGGCTTTGAGCAACCTGGTCTACTGGAAGGTGTCCCTGCCCATGGCAGGGGGGTTGGGACGAGATGGTCTTTTAGGTCCCTTCCAACCCCAACCATTCTATGATTCTAATATACAAGATACCTGCCTCCATGCCCTGCCAAAGCTAAAAATAGGTGTAGGAGTCTGAAAAGATGACTGCAGCACACGTGAAGCTGAGGAAGACACAGCTGTATTTGGTCCAAGTCATATGTAGCAATGAGTGACACATTTAACCCGCTTTTTCTCTGTGGTATTGCATGCATGTTTTATTTACATGAACCATCAAATGCTGAGGTTGTTGATGTGCCCTGTTAGTCTTCTATCCTAAAGGATTTTTAAGATGTCCAGAATAGGGCATCTGCATGTTATGTTGGATTTAAAGAGGAGCAATACCCTTGACGCAACATCAGTCTTTTTCCTTTGGTACTCTCTTAGACATACCCAGTCAGCCCATGCCCTTCAGTTTCTGGGTATCAAACCAAGTGTTCATTTTCAGGATGAATTAGCAAATAACCACTTGGGAGAGGGGACAGATTTTTCTCTACTCCCTCTGGCAGCCTTCCCCCCTTGGTGTTAGAATGGCACAGCCCTGGCTGCTAACTTCCACAATTAGTAGCTTAAATAATACAGAAAAGTGATTTCACAGGGATCCCATTCAAATCAGTCCACACGTTCCTCTGAGGCTCCATTTTCCCTCAGCAAAGCTTTTCCTCCTCCCCTCACAAAGCATGAAGGCAACAGACGTGCTTTGGTCCAGCCCAGCAAGGGTAACTGAGCCAGTCCAAGGGAGAAGTGCCAGCACCCAGCATGGCTCTGGCGGCCTCTGGCTCCCCTGAAATAACATCAGATATTCTCATTTCTCATAGTATTTCCACAAATTTTCCATGGCTGTTCTGAAATTATAACTTTTGCCAAAAAATCTATTTAATGCCGTTTGCCTGCAGAGAAGTGTTTGGGCCATTGACAGCTAATACTGGTGCTCTGGTAGAAAAAAGGAATAATTACAATTCCTCTGCAGATCAATGATATTTACTTGCCTCTAAATATGCCGCAAGCTTTACACCTTTATACGACCTTAAGTAATCATTTTCTAGGCAGAACAGAAAATCTATTTCCATTAGTTTCCAAAGACTCAGAAGGTATGTACGCAGGAAGATCACTTCCATAAATTCACCTTTTTAGAGTCACTGGGTAACCCAGAATTTATGCAAGTGCAGGTCAACCAAATCATTCAGCATTTATATGCTCCCTTTCAAGCTCCAGGGAACTGGAGTAAATTCTAAAAATAAAATACACACGTTGTAATACGCAGAAGATTTAGAGATGGAACTATTCTGACAGCCCAAAATAAAAGTCTTTATGTATAAGATCTCAATGGCTAGGTCTGTACCTAAATCACATATTGATTTAACTCACTGTAGACAAATTATATAAGCTTTGGAATGATGTATGCTTGATCAATGTGTTTTAGAAATGAATTTCTGTCTCACTTAATCATTGAGGCAAGTGAAGAAGTCACATAAATATCCCTACATTTTACTTTATAGGACAGTAAACCATTTTCTAATCAAATTTGTAAGTAAACAGCATTATTTGTTTCCAAGAAATATCAATATTAAAATACTTTTCAAAGAAAATTTGAAAACAGACTTAAAAATTATTAAGTGTTATCTATTAAACACACGCACATTGTATCAATATGTGAGTACACAAACACAACGATTACAGAGACAGAGGCAAACGCGACATCCCTTTCTAATATCCAGGGATGGACAGTCCTAGCACCATGCTGAAAAAAATCAGATTTGGAGCCTCAGACAGATGAAGCAGCTGGGTTTGTTCGATATTTTACTCCTTTGAAGTGCTAACAGGGATTCTACACAAGTGCAGGAGCAATGCCCCACTTCAGCACAAACACACTGACCCTAATATGGTAGGGGGGAAATAAATGCTTACACCTATACATACAGATCTCAAAGTGTTTTAAAATGGAGCACATTTTCTCAGGTTAGAGATAGGGTAACTGAGGCACAGAAAGGCAAAACGACGCCCTGAAAGGCACAAGGCAAGCTCAGGTATAAATGCCAAGAGTGAAGACTTCTATCTGAATGTCAAATCTACTAGTGCAAACCTCCTTTCTTAACCACATTATTGCTCAAATCCCATTGATATCAGGCCAAGGACTGATTTTTGACCTGGCTTAGAGCTAGGTCAGTCACAAACACACTCCTCAGCTTTTCTTTAAGCTCTTGTGTCCTAGCTGATTTTGGGGTACTCCAACCAAAAGGTAAAAATCTGACTCACTGTTGAAATTGCTCTGGGTGGCCTCAGTGATTAAAAAAAGGATGCTGACACCATTCACGGGTCATTCCTGGCAGCACGGAAACAAGCTCTGCTCCCAGCAGAGCATTGCCCTCACCCAGCAGAGCATGAACCTCAGCACAGACCCGTGGCCAAGTCCACACTGATGCTCCAGAAGCTACGAGCACATGAAAAACTGGGCAAAGCAGATTGCTGCAGCCTCAGGGGATTCCCTACAAAAATGTATAGTCAAACAAGGAGGGAAGCCACTTACCATACAGGACTGCAATGAGCGACACAGGCATGACCAGGATACCCACCAGCATGTCTGCCACTGCCAAGGACATCAGGAAGAAGTTTGTGGCATTCTGCAACTTCTTCTCCAAGGATACAGCCATAATTACCAATATGTTCCCCCCAATGGTCAGCAGGATGACAACTAAGATCAGAAGGGCTGGCCAGTTCTTCTCCCTTACGGACATCCGAGAGACTTCCCCCTTCTCAGAGGCATTAAGAGGATCAGATGTAGGCAAACTCTGATTCAGAGTCAAATTGCTGCTTAAGGACCAAGCCATCAGACCACCATGCAAACTAAAATCCAGTGTAACAGACACTGTTGTTAAGCTGAGTAATATTCCAGTGCTACTTAATGTGCTCATCGTCTGGGACTGGTTTTCTGTATCTCAACTGTGCCTCAAAGATGATCCCTTTTCCAAATTGCAGGTCCAAGGCAGATGCCGAACTTCACAAAACCTGAGCCAGAAAATCATTTGATCTTCCATAATGAAATAAACCTTACAGAAGTTAGCGCAGAGCTCTTCTAGTTTCCTTGGGTGTGGTGGAAGATGACCACTGACCAGCAGCCTCGAGGGAAAGGAGACTTTGCAATCTCCAACTGGTTTCCAGGTCCACCATTCTGAAAAGGAAAGAAAAAGTATATTCTTCACTGAAATCCCAGTATACACAAACACCTTCTTTATGCCCATGCGAATGACATTCTTATTCTTTCCCTTCCTGCTGGCTAGGATGTTCTCCAGACTGCAAGTAATTTATCTTATGGGTACAGACTATGCCTACAATTATGGGGGAGGGAGGGAGAAAATCACATCAGTGTGCTCTGGCTGGTTAAAAGCTGATTATCACTAATTAAATGTTTTGTGAAACCTGCAAAAGCAAGCCTGAAGAGCAAAATATGTTTCAATTGATAGCCACTTCACAGATACTTTGCTGCTGTGTAAAATAGTAATTGCACGGAATTCCAACCAATTCAGATAGCGCAGCCAAAGTAGCGTGTAAACCATCACCTTAAATGGAAGTGTTTGGATATATTTTGCATATTCTGAGATAAAGCACAGGTGTTGTAAAAACCCTCAGATGTTAATGATTAACTCTTCTGTAATAATGAAGACTATAGTTTGGTTTTTATTGGGAAATAAACAGTGGATAAGACACAATATATATTAGGTAACATTATACGGTGCTATGCTGTCAATCTCTCCAAGTAAACAGGTAACAAAGAGTTAAAAGAAGAGAAAGGACAAATTTTCATAAAAGCTGAGCAGTTATTTCTGCTCTTCTTCATCCATTTTTGTGCCACTGTGCTTCCGTGCTGATCACTAGCATGCAGCTGGGCCAGTAAGCCCAGTTCCACCAGCCTGCTGCCCAAGACTACGACCCAGGACTACTGCCCAGCACATGCAAGTATCAGCACCCTCATCACACACAGAGTCGGTAGGATAGATTTCCTCAGAGTACCTCACATGATTTATGCTTCTTCACAAATCAGTTGACAGTGAGGGCAAGTCAGATTACGACCCCTGACTGCCCATGTAATACAGGCCAGAAAGCATCATGATGCTGCTGCCTCTGAAGGAGTCCATTAGTCTCATGCATTGACCTAATTCAGCAAATCAAACATACTTTTAACTTCAGGCACATGCCTACACCCACTGAGGCTAAGGCCATGTATTCCCAACCCTGGCTAAATCACACTCTCAGGATGCTTGGCCGTTCTGACTGCCAATCCTGTACAACCGATGAAAACAGCAGCTTTGCTCTGCTTTTCGATTACATCAGAGTCAGGATCCTAACAACCATATATAGCCTAGGACTAAAAGCACAGAAGGAAAGCAGTTAGTAGAACAACAAAAAACCCCACACACTGTATGGAAGTCGACCAGTGAGTAGAATAAAATCAATAGCATGCAATTTATTTTGAGCATATCCTCAGCGTTTTGTGTAGTCTGTTCTACCATCGTTAAATAAATAACTAAAAAGCCAGATTTTAGCCCTTGAATACACTGTGGCACACATGTGACACAGCAATTTGCTATTCAGGGATCAAAAGCTAAATGTAATTCATGGGATTACATTACATTTTATGTAAAATAAGAAGCGCTCAGAGTCCTATAATAAAATGTTTATCATTCATGGAGGTTTTGGAAACTTACTAATGGGCTTTGCACACAAAAAACATTTCTTAAATGAGCAGTGCATACAATGAACCCAGATTTGCTTCTGCATTATGGTTAATTACTCCCAAAGGGTCTCTCAACCTCATATTTAGGAAGAAGTTTTGCACTATGTGCACAGAAAATAATTTTGCAGCTGCACATGCAGATGAATTAGCAAGTAGTCACTGGACCATTTATTTTTTCCAACTTAGCTGGTCTAAAAAAAGTCTCTAGAAAGTTTCAAAATACTTCAGAGTATTTTTTTCAAAACACAGCTTTTATTTTAAAGCTGTGAACAAAATTACCCTTTTTTCCAGATCAGCTTTCCACAGTGAAGGAGATACTAGGCATCTTTGTGGTACTTGGGCTTTGCTGTGCAGGACACTCCCATTAAAGCCAGTGGGAATTTCTGGGTCTCCAGAAACTCTCGCTCTCTCTGGCTCCATGACTCTTGGGCACTTCTGATCATGCCATAATAATACTTCAG